AATTACCCAATATTCAAAAGTATCATCACTTTTATTTCGCATCAAAAAATCCTGGTGTTGTTTTTTACAAAGATGATTTTGATGATGATTATAAAAATTATACAATTCGTTCTTTTCCTTTTAATACAAATATCTTACCCTCTGCAATTAGTGTTAGACCACTTCCTTTAAAGAGGCAAGAAGAATTATACAAAGAAATTGCTCCTTATATAGACTTGCCATTTCATGATATTACTTGCTCTAAACCTGAAAGTTCAAAGTAAATTAAAACATTGTTTTATTAGCTATGCAAATAAATTAAATATTATATTAATTCAGTTTATGCCAAGTCTAGTATTAGAGCTCTACAAATTTGAATTACAGTATAATTAAACATATTGCTAAGCATGAATATGAGCATTGAGTTCAATAATGCTGTGCCCAGCACTTGCTGAACTTAATGTAAAATAAATACAAGAAAAAAATAAATACAAGTTCACAAGACCCTTTTATAAATAAATGTAAGATTTGTATTGAATAAAATAAGTAATTAAATATGAAATATGATAAGGTGAAATAGAAAAAAGGTGAGGTAATCATTATAACAATGAAGAGTATGAGCGATCATATAAAACGTAAAGAATAAAAATTTTATCGTTATGATTTTGCATGTTATAAATAATATAAATATATAAATATCAATATAAATATATAAAATATAAATATATTGATATATAAAAAAAGAATTATTTTAAATAAAATTATTTGTTAGAAGCATTTTAATTATTAAAGACAGTTTTTCAAAAAATTTATTATAAATCACATGATAAAATTAAACTGTGATTTTCTCATGATTATGTAATTGTCTCATTATACTGTTTTGCTATGGGTGGCCCCATATATAGATTCAAAAAAAATCTTATCAAGTAATCTATCCATCTAACTTAGGATTATCAAGTTATTATTGTTTTTGCAAAGTATAGTTAAAACAAGTACAAAAAAGTAGTAATCAAACCTACATACACTTTATTGAAAATGCAGAGAGAAGATAATTCAAAGAATTCTTAGGAAATGGATATCTAATTTAACCAATCTAATTTGTCTATTTGTTGCAACACATGAAAACCCGATTGTAATTCCTAGGGCTCGGCAATGTTTTAAATTTTAAATATATCATCTCATCACATTGTAAATCCAGGTTTTAATCAAGATTTATAGTCACATAGGTAATAACATATAAAATTTTTTTTTTACACTCTAACAAAGAAACATATATTTGTTTTTCATATAGAAGTACATGTACAAGTACATGTACAAATAAAAAGTTTATTATGTTTCTTTACGCAACAGTAGCTATTTTACCTGTTATTTAGCTATAAACTTTTATTCAGGTCCCATAATTTATTTAAGATTTATTGGATACTATAGGGCTTTTACAGGTTAATCAATAGGGCCTGAACCTGACTCGATACTTTAATGGACCCAATCTGAGTCTGATTTGATTTATATCAGGTCTAAAATTTAAACTCGACCCGGGCTCAAACCCGACCTGATCCGTAAAATTTCGGGTTGAACACGACCCATTCTGTACCCTAGCAAAAACAAGAAAGCGAATATTTAAGTTACTATTGCGAGTTTAATTTATCTATATAATTAGTGTTCTAGTTACTTTGACTATTTTATTATAACAAAATTAGCATTAGGTGCATCAACTTCATAGATTTACTGATTTTTCAATACATAATATTACAATTTTTCTTGCTATAATGAGAATTTGAATATTTACTGCAAAATTCTCACTTTGGATCATTCAAATAAAAAAATAGAATAACTAAAAATTTGGTTTAAGTAGAATAAGAAATAAAAATAAGGGTTTGGGTCCCATAGCTTATTGGTTAAGCTCCCAAACCCCCACAGACTAGGTTAACAGTTTGAGTCAGGCTGGAGGCAAATTTTAATAAAATTTGTTTCTGTAACCTATGAGGGCCATAATCAGATATGAAGCCCTGTGGAAAAAGTCTAAGTGCAGTATGAAACCAGAATAGGAAGTTCCTGAAAGAAACCAGATTGTGGAGTGAAGACACTACATGTGATAGTAGTGTTACAGAAGGTCTAGGTGGTAGAATATTGTACATGTAAGTCCTTTGGTTGGGGTAACTCAGAGGCAATACCAACATCCCATCACCTCTATATCTGGCAATACCAATATCTCTACACCCAACTTGTGGGATACTTGCTTAGAAAGATGATCAATAGATTGTGCGTATAAGTCTTAATATAAAATGGCATTGGGTACTTGCTTGGAAGGGTGATACTATACTACCAAAAACTAAAGTAGTGAGAGAAGCGGTGATACACAATAATAGGCTGTGGTAAAGGATTATATCCTAACTAGAATTGGAAGCACCTCTGGCATGGTGGAATAACTATAGAAGACTACTCAGTGTAGAGAATGTAATCTACCATCTGTACATCTAAAGGTACCAATTCGGAGCTCTGGTTACACCTATATGGAAGTCTATGATGAAAGTGAAACCAACTAGAAATACAGTAGTTGAAAATGATTTAGCTTGCCACTTAAGTAATTTCATGGTGTTAGGCTGGTCTTTAACAAGATAGGTCATTAAAGCTAATTCGAATAGCCAATAGCTTGAATACTATATAAAGGAGTACTTAAGAAGTAGTAAGTAGTATACTGCATCAGACAACTTAGAAAAACATTAAGACCTGGAAATGGCAAACTGGGTGGCGGTAGCAGAGGCCTGGCTTGAGATATGAGGCTAGTATACCTGGGGAAACAAGTGGGAGGCTTGGGGCATTCATGTAATATTAAGTTGTATAACGGAATGCAAGCTGGCAAATGAGCAGTGCAAACTCATGATAAGTCCCCTTTTCGATATGTGATACCAATGCTTCTTATGTGGGACTAGCGGTAGCAGCAAGCACCTGGCTTAAGAAACGTGAACGAGAGGCTACCTAATAGAAGAAGTATACCAGTTTAGAAAAAACTTCGAATAACAGGCACACCAAATTGGGAGGCCATTAAGGACTGATTACCTGAAAAGAACCAATTTGGGAGTTAACAAGGTTTGACGATGAGATATGGGGTGAATATAGTAGATAACTAGATATAGTCTGAATACCAAATCCAGGTATAACCCAATACGTGGTAGGAATGTAGCATACTCTGATAGGTTTAGGTCGTAGATAAAATTGTCTAAATCTTTATTCTTATGATTATATATAACCATATAAAGCAAAAATTTGATACATCTAATAAAGATACGAGGCAAGACCTCACTTTAATACTGAAAAAAAAGAAATAAAAATTTGTTTAAGTCATTTGATTTCAGAAATTTAAAATTATTGGACTCCGAAGTCAAAAAAATATGTAATGATGTATTTATGTTAATTTCAAAAAATATAATATGTAATAATATACTTATTTATATAACTTTGTTAAAAGCAGCTATTTAAAGTTCTATTCAAGGCTTCTTTTGTTCTATTCAAGGCTTCTTTTGTTTTATCTACTTTCTAAAAATCTTGTTTTGTAAATTTTAATATGAGGAGTGGTAACAGAGACAAAACGCATAAAGACAAAGCTGGCTCTAATAAAGCAGATAGGGCAGAAGAATCAGCTTTGAGTCAAACAAAATCTTTTTTTAAGATGGTGTTGTGTAGCAGTAATAACAGTAATAATAATAAAAAAAATTTTTTTATTTGCTTTTTTTTTTAAAAAAAAAAAATAGAAACTTCTTTTTAATTTATTTTTAGAGTCAAACCAAAAGAGAGCTAATCTTGGCGATATTAATTCAAACAAAATATCATCCATAGCCCAATCTAAGTTAGCAAAAGTTTCATCTGTAGTCCAAGAGTCTAAATCGACCAAAGGTAAAGACAAGTAATATTTATTTTTCTGTTGTTAGAAGTTTATTATTATTATTATTATTAATAGTTGTCTAAATTACAGATAATGAACAGCAAAATCAGCAAGATGAAGAAGTTACATCTTCTAGAAAAAAATCAAAAATTGTATAGTGTACCGATGAAGACCTATTTGATGATCCCTTGATATCTGTAGATAAACAACTATTCGTTGGTTTCTCACAACAGGATGATGAAATATCATATACATCTCAAATATCCCAAGAGTCCCTTCAGTTAGCAACCTCCAAGAATTTATATGAATTACGTAGTGCTTTCTCTACGAACCTGGATGAAGAAGGATTTACTGATAATTTTCTGCAGAAAGCTCAAATATTGTAGAAAATGCAAATTTAACAACTGAAGCTTTTAACTACAGTATAACTATTGTAGACCAAAAGATTGGCTCTTTGTATCAATTATGTCGTAATATAGCAAATAGGCAGAAAGATATGTCTAGAGATCTTAGAAAGCTTGTTGTATTTGATGAGCTTTCTAATGGTTTCTGGAATATAGCATATAAAAAAATCTTAAAAGAATTAATTCTGGAAACATTATACCCCGCTACCAAGAAGTATAGATTAGCATTAGAAAAATATTTAGATTACCATGCAAATCACTTTATTAAAATGATTAAAAAGAATGCATAGATTTCTTTATTTACTAAAAAGCTTTTATATGAAGTAAGAAATTTATCATTTTACTCACATTTGTCATAATACCTATGCTCAACTTATTTTTTTTACTTGTATTTTTTTTATTTTATTTGCTATTTTATTTTTTTGTTTATTTACTATTTACTTTTTTCTTTATTAATAACCTTTAGATAAAATAAAATATTATAGAAAATGAAATAAAATAGCTGCTATTATCCGAAACACTACTTTTGTTAGTTTTACTGACGATCAACTAGAAATAGTTGATAGTACCACATCTTCTTTAAAACTAGTTGAATGGAAAAATTGCAAAAAAACTCACGATGTTTACAATTCTCTTTTTGAGAATAATGAACTAATAACTTCTATTTGTCTATTAGCCTTTAGACAATTTTATGATAAAAGTCCTCCACCAATGCACTGTGCCTATACTATGGCAATTTGTGATATTTTGTTAAATCTCACTAGTTCTAGTATAAAATGCTCTGACAAGTCTGTTACTAGACGAGTTCAACTATTAATAGTATAATTTCTATTTTTGTTAACAAAAAAAACTTTATTTTTCTTATATAGTACTGTACAGCACTGATTTGGTACCTTTGGTATAATATATATGAAAAGTTTTTTTTTTTACATAGGATAGGATATACTCCTAAAATTTTTTAATAGGGTACTTTGTACGGGTACTGTGGTTAGCACTATACAGTATTACTCAAATTTATAATACGTATTTATTATTTTTATCTGAACTTTAGGAGGCATATAAAATGAACCAATCTATCTCTCAAGAAAAACTTGCAGAGATTGCTCTAGAAAAAGAAGAAGAAGCTGCTATGGCAAAAAATAAAAAAAGAAATTTAAAAGCTGATATCGCTGACGAAAAAATTATCAAAGATGATAACGACTATGATAATTTCACAGAATTTGATTTAATTATTGGCAATAATCTGTTACTAAGGAATTAATACATATGTAAAAGCATTAATTTCTATATATAGTGTTTTTAAAATATACAGTCAACTCTGTTTATTTCGCAAAAAAATGTACTTAAAAAATTTTATATATAAAAATTTTTAAAAGTTTAGTTCTCAAAGAGTTATATATTGCTAATCTGAACTTTATAATAAAATTTACAAATGTTCTAGAGCTTTTCGTTCAGTTCGCAGAGAGTTTAGTAAGTGTTTAGTTTAAAAAGGTTCAGTTTAAAGAGAGTTGACTATACTATATATTTTAGTTTATAAATCTTCAACAATTTTACCTACATAATCTGTGCTAACTTAGCTATTGTATTTGCATATATAGTGATTTCAACATAGCAATAATTCAAGTTATGTGCCTAACAAATTACCTTTAAAAGATTTAAAATTAGAATTTAACTCAAATTTTGTAAATGCTAAACAATAAATTTGAACTTAGCAAATTCAAATATTTTTCAGAATTAGTATTGATTAGTACGTGTATTCGATACTGTGTTTATTATTTAAAAATTGTTAATGATTACACTACCATGCTTAAAAGCAATTACTAAAAATTACATATATTTAGTAAAACAACTGGTTTATTTTTTTAGCAAATAATTACGCTTTATAATTCCAATACTGTATCGTGTATAAAATATATAAACGCATCTTAATTAAGAACAGTAAATAAGGAAATTGATATTTTCACACCCTATTTTGATAGGAAATTAATATTTTCATATTCTACTTTGATATTGCCACACCTATGATATTAAAAATCAATATAAATTATTAAGGTTGTGGTTAAGGTTTGAGATAGTAGAGGTGTGGTAATATCAAAAAAAGGTATAGAAATGTTAATTTCCCTAAATAATAACAAAAACACCAGTAAAAAGCTTTTTTCTAACAAATATATTATCTTAAATAAATTGGTTAAAGGTTCTGAAAATACTTTTAGTAAAACACTAACTTAATAGCTACTACTAAACATTTATAGCATAATCGACACAAATAGCAATTAATGAGATATATATAGTATTATTTATGATATTAAAGCTTGAATTAATAATTTTAACACTAACGTGTTTGATTTTCTCTTCAGATAATATAAAATATAAGGAAGACTAAGTATAGCCATCAGCATTCTCTCTATCAATTTCATAACTAATTTCATTTTTATTGCAATACTCATTTCTTTGCTGATCTTTGACAATAAATAACTGTGAGGCTGATGTTGAAATCGGATGATGCTGAAAGTTGGGATCTCTTTTTAAATCTATAAAACCTACTAAAATTCACATATACTTTTTATTAATAAATACTACCCCCAAACCTAACCTAACTATGAAAAAAAAACCACAAAAAAGGCCCTAAAAAATTTTACAATTTTATAATAAAATATGAAAAATTTTCAGTATCATCTGATTTCAATATTAGCCCCACAATAACTATTTTCTATTTGTCTTTTTAATTCTATTTCTATACCATTATTTTTTACTGGTGTTTTCTATATTATCTACAGACTTTAGTTGCAGATGCTTTTTTGATTTGTTCTACTTAAACTAGTTGCTTTCTTAGTGAAAAGATTATTCATTTCATCATGAGGTCTTTGATTATATATTATATAATATTAATGTTCTAATGCAAAATAAAAAATATTTACAGACTATAATTTTGCATATGTTATATATATATCAAATTAAAATTTAATCCTGCAAATGCTTATTCGAAGATTTTTTTTTAACCCTAATATTATTTGGTATTTAAATACAAAATTTAAATATTAATTAATTACTTGAAATTTAAAATACTTATATAATATATGTACTTAATTTATTAACTGGTAATTCTTAGATAATCTACTTTAAACTAATTATTATAATCTAATTATAAGTAATCTCAGAATTTTTTTTATTGTATAATTAATATATTTTTTATCTTTACATAATTATTAGCTATTGCTATTATTTAATATATATTTAAAATATAACAAAAACAATGGCTTTGCATCTTAACAATAACTTTATCACCTTTTTCAAGTTTTTAATTGTCCTCTGTGTTTAATTGAAACTTGCGTCCCCAAATTATTTATACCTTTTTTAAGTAAATGAAATTTCTCAACCATATCAATAGTAAGTATTTTAGTACTTAAAACTTGAATTATATGGAGACTAAGATTTTTCAATATCGATTTCATTCATTAATTAATAAAAGTTTGAAGTATTCACTCAAAAGATTCACGACTTAGAAAATTGAAGCTTTGTGAATCCATAAAATAATAAAGAAATTCAACCAACTTGGGATTTTTTATTGCCATTACGTAATATATCTGATATTCTATATATATATATGTAATCTACTTTCATACGTACGTACGTATTTACATATTAATTTAATTTTGATATGTATATATAACTTTAAATTAAAGTTTACAATCTATGTTGCAGATGATAATCTACTTTTACACTTTTGTTTAACATTCTAATTTCTCTTAATTTTTAATTTTTCACTTAAGTTTTTTTTCAAATTTTCAATTTTTTAAAATTTTTTTTCTTTCGATCTTTTGCTCTTTATTCAATATCTGTTCCTATTAGCATAGCAGGCTTTTGCTGTGATTGGCTAATTTTTGTAGATCATCCTGTAATATT